TTTAAATCGAACTATTTAGAAAATTTGCGAGAATAAATGCTCTTTGTTTCAAATTCATTAATTCAGTAGACTGAAACTGTGAAAAAATGAGGTAGAACATATGATTTTGATAAAAAAGATAGAATATATGATTTTGATAACTTGTTAAAAAATCATGGACTGTGTCTAGTAAAAAAATATTGAAATTAAAAGATAAGAAATAAATAAAATTAGAAACAGAGTTGGGAAATATAATTTATAAAGACAGTAGTAAAAAGATGTGAAATCACTTCAAGTCAAAAGCAAAAATCAATTTATTTTTAATTAATCAAAAGATTGGAAATTGAACAATGCTGTATTCTCTTAAATATATTACTCTTCGTTTAAAGAGATCCAATCCATATAATATTTTAAAAAAAAGCTTACTTGTGAGAAAGTTGCATCACAAAGTGAACATTTATGAGTTTGGGCAGTAGATGCATTATGAGTTAGCGTATGCTGCCCCAGAGAAGCTTTTTGAGAGAACCGTTTTCCACAAATTTCACAAACGAAGCGACGTTCTTCTAATATATGATGTGGAAATTATATGATACATCATTATATGAATATCTACTAAGCTATGGTCATCTTCAGCTCCTCACAACAAAATTAAGTTCAAATCTGGTAGACTGTTTTCCTCATCTCTCTATTATGATACTATCGATGAGGTTATTCTACATTCATGAACCAAGGATAATATTTATGACATGTTTAAAAATTGCGGGAGATCCGCCATAATCTTTAATCCATATTCTACAGCCAAAACAATAATTTCATTTCTACGACATGACATATGAAGTAAATTTTCAATTCCTAATAAGCCTTGGAAAATGCAAAACCAAATTCTAATAGGCCCTGCAAGTCCAAGACGAAATAAATTAGATTTAAAAGATTAAATAAAATCAAAAGAGCTTACTTGTATGGACAACATAATGTCTCATCAATTCAAATTTTTTTTTAAAAGTTTTGCCACATGCCTCGCATTTATGAGCTCTATCACCAAGATTAGATTCACGTTTCCGTTTATTTCTTTTCATTGTCTTACTGAAAACTGTTGATAAAATTCACTGCATCAATAAGCTTTATTTCTGTTCATATCCTAATAATTTAGCCTGAGAAAAACCATCAGCTATAGCTGAATGACTCTAAAAATAGTTCTCGATATTGTTGACACATTCAGAGTTATCTCCTTCACTAGAGTGTCACTGTTTGAAGATTTGAGAGCTATCGAGCATTTCCTTCCGGATATTTCTCAACAAAATAACTCATTATACTAGAAATCTTCATTCAAAACAACTAAAATCAATGAAAATTACTTTATTTTCCGGTGCATTTGTTTGTGTTCATCCATTGCTTCTTTGCTAAAAATAGCAATACCACATTTCTTGCAAATTTCAACAGTAGTGATATCTCCCAAACGAGGATAGCAATGTTGCAGACGTAAATGCTTGTTTAAAAGTGCCTAAAATTGATAAAAACTAAAAACTAAACAAGGAAAGATTTCCATTCCTTACACGAAGTGTAAAGTTAGTCATCAGCAGAATCTTGGAGATAGTTTAACATTGGGCTAGTTTTTCTACCAAACCAAATACGAAAGTGAACTTTTCGGTATTTTAGATTTCTTGGCAATATGAGATTGCATACATATGCACATTTATTCCTCAACCCTGATCAATTTCAACCCAATGAGGCCGCCAAAGTGAGACTTTCATAGGAAAGGCTACTCTACATGAATTAAATTGATAGTGGACCTGAAAATCAAATTCTTCTTTACAAAATGTACATATAAGCGAATCGTTCAAGGCATGGATTTGAAGATGCGCATAATAGGCGGCCAGTCGAGCATACTTTTTTGGACAGAATGAACATATATACTTATCATTTTCAACCACTGCTTTATCATGCTGTCCAAGGCGGTGTAGCTTTAAATTGTGCTCCTTGTTATATTCTTTACCACATACATCACATCTAAATTTACTTAATTAGCAAATTATAATGAACTGAACTAATTATTTTATTATTAATATAGACTTTGTGGAATTCTAAGGAATAAGCTAAATTTTTTCAGGTGAGATATATTTCATTATCTTTCATCAAATTTTTTACTCAAAGATGAATTTTAAAAAGCAAATAAGTAAACATACTTGTAACACTTTTCTAATCGACAATTTTTGGTGTGATTTAAATATTCCTCCAAATCAAAAAGAGCATCACAAACGCTACATCGTGTCAAATAATGTGTCTGCAAGTAGTCATTATTTATTCAGAACAATCAAGATTTATTTTAGTATTCCTATTGCATCGAAAATATTAAATGGAATTATTATACATAAGTTAATGACAGACTTTTTTTACTGAATCCTCTGGAATTTTCGGATTTGCTAAACAACTTTATTACACGATTGAATCGACTCAATCCTTTTAGGGAAAGGCTTTCTTTTTTAGAAAGAAATATATTGCAGTGCTTTAAAAACTTATGATATATAAGTTTGAACATGTTTCCGAACTTACATTATTCGAAACCGGCACACTGAATGAATTATCCACCCACGTTGAAGTTGATGATTCTTGAATATATATTTGAATGAAATATGTTTTAACAAATTAACTCTAAGCAAACAGGTAGTTGAACAAGTAAGCAAACAAACAAAATAAAAAAAGTGCTGTTTAATAACTAAAAGTTTCCTTGGGTTTTCCGAAATAGATCGACTCAGTTAATTTGAATACATAATTAAGTGCAATAATTAGGACACTACAGATACGAAGAATAAAACCTAACTTCAGACAGAGCCCTCTTGATGATTTATCGACAACAAAGTGTCTATTTCAGTATCTCAAGAATAAGCAAGTATTATCACTCCCAAAGAGAATCTGGTAATCTCCAATCGTTTTCTTTAGCCTATTTCACTAGTTATAACATTATTGAAGACTAGGGAAATAATTAAATTATCTCGCTAAGGATGATTTATAAAATAATAAAATTTCCGCTCTTTTCTAAAGTGGCAATATTAAGAAGTAAAAACATGACTAACCATTTTGAAGAGTACAATCATATCTAAGCATTTGTTGGTCTCGCTGTTGTTGCTGTTGCTGAAGTTGAAAATGATGCTGCTGTGATGATAATAAATTTTGATGATATACCGTCGATCCGGATACTGTAAATGAGTAGCTATCAGATGTTCCACCATTTTCCAAATTTTCATCAATTATCACATAACGAATTTCTTCTGAATCGTTATGAGTTGTCATTCCGCTGTTTTGCATTGCTTTTTAAACCATAAAATTTTATTTCCATCTGAAACGTAAATCATTTTTATAATCCTATAATGCTACTCATGAACAGAAGTCAATAACAAAGGAGCATAAAATTTTTGTCTAGCATTACCAGAGCAATTTCGGATTTACTGATAACTTCTTGCATAATTATCAAAACAAATAAAAAACCTTCTTTGAAGATAAACAGAGAAATTCCGAACTGTTACAAATAATCCATCTTCTGATGCAAGCGTTACTGATTACGCTAATCGTACATCATCTTATTTTCTAGAAAAAGTATGCATTGCATCAACTTGTAGTAAAAAAAAGTGAAACAACGATCGATCAGAATTAGAATTTGGATTTGAAACGATTAAAATTTAATACTCTTTATATTTCGTGCCCCCTTCAATTTCAAAATGAATTATTTCTCTCAAAAATTTCCAAAATATAGAATAAATAAAAACTTTAATCAGAAATTACAAATGAATAAAAAGATGCAATAGTTAAAAGGAATTAAAGATATATATATTTTGAATGATACAGGTTAAAGATTTAAAGCAAGTAAAGTGTAAGGCAAGGACTTCAGTGGTTATAACTTCAAAGAATAATAACAATATAGGGCAAAGCATAACGAATAGCTGAAGAGAGAATAAAGATTGATAAGAATGGTTAGAGAATAGAGGAAAATGTTAACATTTAATTAAGCAGTGACTGAGAGTTATTCGGTCATCAAAATATTCACTGTTGCATTTCCGTAAGCTTCAATTTCAGTCATATTTTAACGGACCACGTAGTGGCGTATTGAAAGATGAAATTCGGTAAGATCGGCCAGAAAGTTGAAGGTCACATCTGTTAATGAGGGAGGAGGAGGTGGAGGAGTGGCTGTGAGTGGAGCAGTTCAATGATGATCTGAGGATTGATGACATTGAATTGAATGACCTTTGTGTGTGACCTTTGTGAGTTCACTTTTTTTGCCAATATCGAGTTGGTGATACATGGTAGGTAACTTCAGACAGTCAAGTGATTGCTTCACTACCATTATGGATGTTATGCCACTTTCATATTTAGCGGAATAATTTTAATTTATCTGTTTCATTATCATTAGCATTAATTATTTCCCTTTTCACTTTTGTTTATTGTTAATTCGGGAGGATGGATCAGATTATACAGCGAACATTCCAAGTCGAATATTGCTATTTTTTATTTTTGTTATTGAAAAATAATTTATTTTTATTGTTAAAAATGGTATTTTGAGTGTGATATTGTGAGTATTTTCGATATCTCTAATGGGGCCATTGTTATTGTTTCGTTGGAATTGACTGAAAGTTTTCAGTAATTTATTTCATCTCTATTTTTTTTAGTTAATTTTCACTTCATGGTTAAATTTACCTTTGTGAGTAGATTCTAATTACTTTTTTCTGGTCTTGTTCCGCAAATTTTCAAAGTAAAGCAGAGCCTAAATTAATTTTTCCAATTTGAAGATATTTCCATTTTATTTCCAATTTGAGTTCAATTTTACTCTTTCACTGTTTCCAGCTTTTATATTATTTTTAGGAGTTTTTTGCAACGTCAGAGTTGAAATTGAGTAAATGAATATTTCTTGAATATATGACCAATTCGAAAAAAAATATTTTAGTTTTGGGGAAGAAGGAGCATATTCTGGATAACTCTGAACCATGATAAGCAGGCTACCGATGGCCAAGCAAGCCGAACGAGAGCAATTATGTCAGCTGGTCGACCAGTGGAATGAAAATCGGCTTGATTTATTCAACTTAAGCTATCCGACAGAGGTATTTAAATTTGAATTTTTTATGAACAATAAAATTTTTGCACATTATGGAAAATGTCGAACTGAAAAACATATAACCGACCAACTTTCAATTTAAGCTATCCCATAAAAGTATTCAAGTTTAAATTTATTATTCATGACGTATGTGGAAATTTTTTACACGATTACTGTCACAATTAATTTCAAAAATTGAAATTAAATTAAGAAATGAATTTGTAATTTTTTTCGGATTGCAGATTACAAATCATTATTATTTTCTTTCAATTTATGAAATTAAAAAAATGAATTAAAAAATGAAAAAAGATTAAAAAAATGAATTATATTGGATTTTAATATCCTCTTGTCAGAGTTCTTATTTTGAGCTAATAAAAAATAATTTGT